GTGAAGATGCCCTTACTTTCATAGTAGAGTAATTTTATGTCACACACTTTTGGAAGGAACATTTATCATTTACATTAGCAATAATATATTCTTATACAGGCTGATAGCTATGACTACAAAAGTGCTAAAATGCGAAATGCTGGGCCTGTTATCAACAGGTTGACTCCCATTGAGGAGTGACACCCAGCATAGAAATTTGTAGGTACAAAAGAGTGAAAAAAGCGAAAAAAAACTGGGCCTGTTATCAACAGGTTGACCCCCATTGAGGAGTGACACCCAGCATAGAAATTTGTAGGTACAAAAGAGTGAAAAAAGAGAAAAGAAACTGGGCCTGTTATCAACAGGTTGACCCCCATTGAGGAGTGACACCCAGCATAGAAATTTGTAGGTACAAAAGAGTGAAAAAAGAGAAAAAAACTGGGCCTGTTATCAACAGGTTGACCCCCATTGAGGAGTGACACCCAGCATAGAAATTGTAGGTACAAAAGAGTGAAAAAAGAAAAGAAACTGGGCCTGTTATCAACAGGTTGACCCCCATTGAGGAGTGACACCCAGCATAGAAATGTGTAGGTAAAAAGTGAAAAAAGCGAAAGAAAACTGGGCCTGTTATCAAAGGTGACCCCCATTGAGGATGACAGCATGAAGTTTGTAGGTAAAATGAAAAATGTAAACTCAGATAGTAAAGTAAGTGGGGAGGAAGAAAGAAAGAGAAAATTTTTGGTTCATGTTGACCGCATTTTTGCTTATATAAGCATTCCCACGTACAATATATTTGTAGCATGATCATCAGGCAGGTTACTGATATTATCCAAGCCAGTAGGAGCAACAATTAACTGGTCACCTTTATTAGAAATGGAACCACAATGTAAGGTGAAGCCAAAAATGCGGAAGTTAATAGAATACAAAGTAGTCATTGGCCACCTCTATGAGATGACCGCATTTCTGCTTATATAAGCAGTGCCATCTGCCTCCTCCCAAGAATGATTTTCCAGCCTTCATATCACTTGCCTGGAGTTCAGCTTGAACTTGATTTTTGAGGTTATTTTAATACTCTGAACATTATTTTAGAGCCAGTTTTTTCCTCAAAAAATCAGATTCCAAAGTTGACCACCCTGTCTTGCACCCCCCCCCAAATATCGATTTTTACAGCCTTCATAACCCTCACCCAAAGGTCGATTTTTTGCAGCCTTCCCATGACTTGCCAGGACTCCAAGAGAATTTTTTGTGAGAGATTGTGACCCTTCTGTACATGATGGTAAAGCCTGACTTGTCAGAAAAAATCACATTCTTGAGATATGCAAGGTGTCCATCCCCTCCTCAATCTGACATATTTTGCTGTGCTTGAATTTAACTCAAACCCAATACTGTAAAGACCTTTCCTAATCTTACTAAGGTGATTCATCCATATATATTCAGCAGCAACAGAAATTTGATCTTGCAAAGTCTTGTTGTGTCCAAGTCCACCCCTTTTGCTTATGTAAGCAGTGTCGCCCATGTCATGCTGCCTCACCCAATGATTGATTTTTTCAGCCTCCATTTGACTTGCCTGGATCCAAATAGAATTGGATCCAGAGGTAATTGACCGATATGAATCTGATGGCAATGCTGATTTTGTCCGAAAAAATCATGTTTCAGAGTCATGGTGCCTGAGCTTCCTGCCTCTCCGACCAGATGGAAATCATGGCAGGACAAGGATTTAAACCTAGTCCTTCCTGACTCCTGGGAGAAATATTGACTACTAGACTATCTCTTCATATAGGGCCATGTAGCTGGAGAACATGACTTGCGCCTTTAGCTATAGCATGGTCTTTCCATCTTAGCTTAGCATCCAAACATGTAGCGAGTTCCTTGTTATCTTATTTATAATACAAGAAAAGAATTCAGAGCTTGCTGTATGGAACTGGAAAACAGGTGAACTCATACTGGTGAGTCAAGATGAAGCAGAATCTGTGTTACCTGTTATTCTGATATCTATTCTAGACATGCACCAGTCGTGAAATCACTACCTTCGCCTTCCTCGCATATTTGTCTCTAACTGTAATGACTGGATGGTCTGGTGGTTGAGACGTCGTCAACAAAAGTCATGTTGGTCAGTTCAGTTGACTGGCAGCCTCTGTTCAAGTTTCATTTTTTGTGTCTTCATGTGATCGGCCAGACTTGAACCAGTACTTGTTTTCAATATTATAGAACCTGCTAAATGGACTGGAAACATGTGTTTGTCCATGAAAAATAACCACTCCTATTGTGCTGCCTCCGCATTTTTTCTGCTTATGTAAGCAGGCCCACCTCAACCAATGATTGATTTTTTTAACCTTCATATGACTTGCTTGGCTTCAAATACACCTTTAATGTGGGGTTATTGAGCTCTCTAAATATGATGGTGATGCCCTTTTTGTTCAAAAAAATCACATTCCAAAGTTATGAATGTCTGTGATGCTGAGGTCCTCAACCCAAGGTCGATTGTTTCAGCCTTTATATGACTTGATCTCAGGCTCATCATCAAGGTGATTGATAGATATATATTCAGCAGCAACAGAGATATTTGATCTATCAAGTCTTGTTCTAAGCGTGCTCAAGTCCACCGCTTTCGCTTATGTAAGCAGTGTCACCCCTGTCATGCTGCCTCACCCAATGATTGATTTTTTCAGCCTCCATTTGACTTGCCTGGCTTCGAATAGAACTCGATTCAGAGGTTATTGACCAATCTGAATCTGATGGCAATGCTTATTTCGTCCGAAAAAATCATGTTTCAGAGTCATGGTACCCCCTCCCCCCACCTACTCCACCAAGAAGCATGATTTTATGTCAATACAGATGTGCTAAGGGATGTTCCTAGTGTTTAATGATGATACAAATAGATTATAGATGGATTCAGAGTGTTCTGAACCAATATGGAATGTGATGTGTGAGTTTGCCTGGTACCCCCCCTCAAAGATCGATTTTTCTAGGCTTCACATGACTTGTCAGCACTTCAAAAGTATTCTTCCTGGGGGTTCTTGATGCTTCTGAACACGATGGTAAAGCCAGATTTGTCAGAAAAAATCAGGTTGTTGAGATATGTAGGGTCCCCCTCCCCCCTCCTAACTCATATATCTTGGTATTATATAAATACCGGTATATAAATAAGTGTTCCTACTGTTTTAAGAGCATATAAATCGATTGGAAATGGTCCCAGAGTGTTTTGGGCCCATCCTGATTAAGATATGCGAGTTTTCATGATACCCCCCTCAAAGATCGATTTTTCTAGGCTTCCCATGACTTGCTTGTGCTCTAGGAGTATTTTTCCGGGGTGCTCTTGATGTCCCTGAACAAGATGGTGAAGCCCAATATGTCAGGAAAAATCAGGTTGTTGAGATACAGAAGGTCCTCCCCCCCCCTCCTACCCCATATATTTTACAACACTCACATTTCACTCAAAACCAATACTGAAAATGGTTGTCCCAGTGTTTTTAAAGCATAGAAATCGATTGGTGATGGTCCCAGGGTCTCTGGAGGTCAGCATTGTTGACCTTGGCTGGAGGGATGAAAAACTCAGTATTTTGACATTATCTACAGATCCCAACCGCCGATTTCTTTCATTCCGGGCTCATATTAATCCTTGGGCATCCCTCTAAAATATGTACCAGCCCAAGAAGAGAAAAAAATTTCAAACTTTGAAACCTATTTCTGTTTTGACCATATAAATGGTTGCTATCGTCAAGCCGCTCCGCAATGAGAGGAATAGACCTCATATATACTACTATGTGGTTCTGGAGAAGCAAGGATCATGCCTGGCTAGAAACTGGTGGATGGCTATATTCTTTCCAGGAATGTCAACGGTTGCGGCACTGGAACATAAAGTATGTCAATTTTTTTTGTGGTTTTTGTTTATTGAACTTGTTTTGGACAGGACTCGAACTGGGAGGCTCAGTGTTACAGTAACATGGCACGAGTCCCCCGCCAGCAGAGAGCCCTCTGCCACCGCACGGCTATAGACGATAACGGAGTCTCACCAGCTCTGTGACGACAGATGACGACGACGATAGATGATGATAGACGATAAGCGGCAACTGCCGGCTTAGATAAGCGGTCTGGACCGCACGTGACATGACATGACGACATAGGTCTAGAAGACCTATTTATGTTATCAAGATAGAAGGCAAGCCTCGTGTTTGCCTCATGTACTGATAGAAGGATACCACGTGGATCCTATCTCTGATGGAAGCGTACCGCTATGGACGCTATCTACGATAGAAGCCCGCCTCATGGACGCTATCTCTGACTCGAGTAGATAAGCAGATTAGAACCCAGCTTTGAGCTGAGCTTAGATACGATAGAGTAGCCTTATATAAGGTCGAAGATTAAAGTAGACATTCCTTACTTTAATCTTACTAGGTACTACCCAGAAACTAGTCTAATCAACTAGGTTTACCCTTGAACTCCTTGTCCCGCTAAAGCTACCTGCTCGACATCGACTCGTACCTTCAGTGACGCCTCTCACTGTCTGTAAACCGCTATCATCTCGGCGTAACCCCTCGTTAACCACAACGAGCTACGTTCGAGTACGCAACCTTTGCTTGTCTGTAAAGGCCGACGACTCTCAGCACTCGGTACCACTGTCGTGGTTGTCGCTGTTTAGATCATCCTAGTCGCACACGACCGTTTGTCGTAACACTCAGTACTGGTGAGCTAAAGATCACCATTCTGATGGAAGCAACCATTTTTCAATTGCACCAGGAAACACGCCAAGTACTTTCCCCACGGGATTGACATACTCTCCAGGATGTCAGAACTTTGTGCATTAAGTTGAATTGGTATCGTGTGGGTGAGTTCTTCAGCATTATAGCGCCTGAACAAGACGAACCTGAGGAATAAATAGAAGCATCCACCATGGAACGCTCAATGGCGGCTTTGATATTTTGGAAACCTGATGTAGAAACTACAATACAAAGAGGAACAAATGATGCTCCTGACTGTATCTGTAAAAGTTGTAAGGTCGTACGTTGCCTAGTCTGCGTTACTTGAGGAGACAAGTGTGTTCGACCCTAAAGGGGAAGTGAGTACAGCGAAGATCTAGGGGTATGCACGGAAGCGAAGCGCGAGAAAACGCAGATGCGCGCAAGGCGCAGGAACGCGCGCGCGTAAGTGGAAATAAGAGAGACTAAACTTAAGTGATGATATGATATAAGATAAGAGAAGAGTGATGCGAAGTGTAAACAATAGATTTCTACTGCGAGTTTCTAGGTAGTAAGTGGGTGGAAAGTAACTAAAGTAAGGTGAAAAGTGCAAAGTAGGAAAAGTCAGATCCCTAATAGTATGTACTGCTGGCACTTATATAGCGCGCCTAAGCGTGGTCATGCGGAGCCAAAGCGCTACCGAGTAGGTATGCAAAGATATATATGAGTGAGAAACCATAATAAAAATAATGGTGGAATGATATGCTAATAAAAGAAATGGAAATGTACGCACTAGAGGGCTTGGTGGACAGTGGATGGATGCTTCTAGATGGCTGGTGCTATAAGGCACTCAAGCGCGGGAACGCGTGCGCGCATATACATCGTGAAGCGCGGGAAAGCTGCGCCTCATATAGGAATCGCTGCAGATAGCACACAGAATGATGCTGCAAGTTTGTGCTGTATACTTCCTAGTGTAAAGTGCCATATCACACCATGAGAGGCATGATTCTCTACACCGACAAAATGAAGGAAATGGCCGCTGTAGGCATGCACGCTGATCTCAAGCTACATCTTCAAGTTGATGACCAAAACAGAGGACTTTGCAAGACATGATGGAGCTATGGATGGAACATGTACCGTCATCTATGGTACGTGAGCCTTGGAAAGACTGGAACTATAAATTTATCTTGAACAGGCAGATTAGCATATATTCTCCGTACGATGCTATTTCTCATACCAGACATATCCTGATTGAATATTCAAAGGCCATCACGAATACCTAAATCACCATGGCCAACCCGAAGTGCGCTTGATGTGCATTCGGTGGCCGGGAAGCGTGGACCCCTCAAAAAGTCTCCCTTCCTGACTGGCACTGCAGTTGCTATGTTTTGGATTCCATTCCTAATGCTAGATCGTCTTAAACATGTTTATGTTGATGGTCTCATAAATGGGGTGGACATCAGGAGATTTACTGATGATTTCAGCGCCCAGGCCAAAGCTCAAACTACCGTGGTGAGTGCTACATCGTGGCCTAATTGAGAACACTTACTATTTGTCTGACAGGCAAGTGTCATTATGGCGGTCAATGCCAGCATCCTTGCAGTCCCAGGTCTAGGTACACAACTGGCTATGAAGGCATTGTGTTCCATCTCCTTCATTCTCTGTGTCTACAGCATCATCGGGTGTGCAATTGCACAACAATTGGTTCAAAGCTTGAGATACCTTGACTTTTCAGTGCGATCATCTTCTTTTTTTTTGTTTGCAGCCTGGTCTGACAATATCGATTGGATAGGCATATTACTTACAAGAGGAGATGGGCACTTTTGTGATCCTTGTGAGTATACTGATGTTCACATTCCTGATGAGGTGAAATAAGGTATTCATCGCAATGAGTCATTACTGACAGGCGCACTAGAGTTTGGCATTTGCCATCATTGGAGTTCTAGCAGGGATCTTCACTGTTGAATTTGGCCTTCCCTTGTCCGAAAGGATAGGATGCGGGCTGATCCTTGTTGTTGGGGGAGGGCTCATGATTCCATTGACAATGGCCAGCTTTGGGCCTGGACTGATTCAATGATGGGGTTCAATACCCTTGTGCTCTATATAAACACTACTATGTAGTCCAATATTGGTCCAATATACATGAATGCCTCAGCTTCCATGTGACACTGTTTGAGCTTGTGTGTGAACTTGAAGTTGTTGCCGCATGGAACGTGAGTACACACCGGATATGACTCAACTGTCTGCCAAAAGCTACAGTTCCTTACTGATGTGACCAGTGAATCTCATCAAGATTCAGTTGGACATACACGACACAGAATGATTGATTTACTATCCGCAGTAGTATGGCAGGTATATATCTTCGTCCCACTTCGCCTCCCCTTTCATCCCTAGATGTCACGGTTGGTAGCTTCTTAGAGTATCATCATTCGTTTGGCTGATTTAAGTTGAGCAGGACCCTCCAGCTCGCACTGTCCTTGGAATGTTGCTCATGGAGAGATCCAACATTTGAGCCACTGGTAGGCTTGCTATAACTATGTCACCCTGAGTCACTATCTCGTTGTTCATGTATGGGAATCCAATATGTGAGTGGCCTCATTTCCATTGCAAGTGATCACTGACCAGACTGCAGTTGCCATCAAATATGTATTGTTGATTGTCAAGTGCCTCTGTGTCATATCCCGCGTTCCAGACCCAGACTTATCACATATCATTTCCGGATCCGGCTGACGTCTATCTATGTCCGGATCCGACCCGCATCTAACTTCCATGCCTTATCCCTTTGTATGTTCCTACTCCGGTTAGACTAAATCATTTTCCGTACCTCGTTTCATTTCCGCCCTTTATTTTCCTCTGATCTAATCTCCGGGTTCATTTAACTATTTTCCGATAGACTAGCGTTTGACTTTTCTATACGCTCCGTCCACCGCTTTGTATAGCTTTGGACTTCGCATCTTAGTAGTATATAAACCCTGTAGAATCTATGTACATCTTTAGTTCGAATATTATCTTAGACTCTGCTCATTCCTTCCTCCGTCCGACTTGAGTTATCCTCTCGTCGACCTCCGCTCGTCTTAGGATTGATTCCTATTGACTTATCACCTCCGCCTCTACCTTTGGTAGTCCTCCGCTGTTTCCTTTCTAGTTCGGACTTTGTCCGGATTAGTCTTATCTCTTGTTCCCGAACGTCCGCCGGAATTCCCGTGCATCGGACATCGGACTCCGGACATCGCCCGACGCCCTCCGGACATCGTCCGGTAACCTTCGGATATTGTTCGACAGCCTTCGGAAGTTAGGGGCACGTACTCGGGTAAGGGGCGCAGCGCACGAGCTGAAGCCAAGCCCTTCGGATTTGACCCTTGAGCACGTTCTTAACACTCTGGCATGACAGACTGCTACAGTCCACAGCCCTATTTGTTCCGAGCAATCTCTCATTTGGTTTAGACTGGGCAGTCATGATCACGAATGAGGTGCCAGCAGTGACTCGTTTAACCTTCATCTCACTTACAAGTTATGATGCCAGTTACCATGTAGAGAACCTCACACAATCCACTCGTGTATGTTCCTCTTTGCTGGCCCTTAGTTCTAAAAGAGCATTGATGTTGGCAGACTCGCTATGGGACGTGAATACTTCTTGCTCCTATATGGCTTCAACAGCCAGAGGAGAAACATGAAATGTTAAACCTCATCAAGCCATCCGTGTTTCCTGACCTCAGAAGCCAATCCTTCCATTAACAGCTCACACTAGTCGTGCATCATCATGAATGAGATCATGCGATTATGGCTCCCGATGGCACCACGCTAGAGCATTTCCTATCCTAGGTACAATGCCGTGGATCACCTGTATTTCTAAGCCCTCTTTCAACTGCAGAGCATGTTATTGCTGTAGTACAAGGTACACAGTACACAATGTCACCTATCTGATTGATTTGTTTTGAAGGTAATAAACTATCCACCAACTTGGTAAATTGCGGAAGATGCAGACTCTTGGTAGATGAGTGCTATTGGATGCACAACCTTTGGTGAGTTGTTTTGATGGACTTGCTGCTTACATGACCCGGCTCGCTCATTAGACATTTGAGCTTAGAACTCATCCTTCCACCTATGCAAGACCACTCGAGATCAGCTATTCAACTGCAGAAGGCTCAACCTATCCAAGTCATAACAGTTTGAGGTGGCTTGAAGCTAGCTCAAGCCGTTGTTCCCATATTGTTGGCTTGTGCTGGTTTGTGCTGGTCCAGGTGGCTTGCGGACTGGACCAAGTTGCACATAGGTGACTTGGTTCATGGAGACCACCAAACTGCTGGAAAACCAGTAAGAGCCGAGCCTGTCCAGCCATAGCTAAACCATGACATGACTATCAGCAATGGATACAAAAGACAGACCAGTATCTGAACGTACTCCTAGACACAGAGGTTCCTGCCAACAGAATATGCTCATATGTGAGAGCGATGGGGACTGCAAATGTAGTACTTTGCTTTATGAAGTGTGGGGACATGGTATACTGGTGGTATACAAGAATGCAGCGCTTGGTGTAGGAAAGTAGCGCACGCTTGGTGCGGAAGAGTTGCACTTTGCATAGGGAATGATTGGAGAGGTGTTTAGCACAAGTTGTGGATATGGCTGCTATGAGGCTACAGATATGTCAGTCTCTACACTGCATTATGACAAACCACACCGAGTAGGCAATACTGGTGGTACGACTATAAGCTTCTGAACTCGGTGCTTTGCGCCACAAGCATGACATGTTTTCCCACTTTGAGGGGCCTTTACCCTTGTAAGCATGTGACTCATTCCTACCATTTGCAAGCCATAAGAGATTTATTAGAGATCACATTACGATATATGCCGTTGTGAGCTAGGAAAGTAAAAGCCATTATGGTTGAGTGGTAAAGATGGATCATCGTATTGAGATCTTGAGTTCAATTCCTGCCATTGCCAATTTATATTTTTTGAATTTTGCACCATATTTCTGAGCATTATGACTGTATGCGGCCGGGAATACGACGAGAAGATGACACAAGACCATGGATGGACAGAGCAAGACGAGGAGCACGACAAAGATATGAGGCCAAAATTTCCCACGGTCTGATGAAAACGCGTCCATGATTTTCGAGTATTTTGGTCATATGTCGCCGGGATCTTGATGCGATGATGTCGTGAGACCATGGATGGAATGACATCGACAAGGAGCATGGTTTTGGACTCGGACAAAAAAGTGATTAATAAGCGATGACTAAGGTGATGCGCCACTTGGATGACAAGAGTCCATTGATAAGCGATGACAAAGGCGACCACAAGCGACCCCCGCTGAGGCGGACGAAACGACCACCCTGAAAGCGACCCCCCCCCGACGGGCCCCATGCGGAAGGAACGATTGCGGGCCCCCAAGAGGGGAGTCCCCTCCCAATAGTGTCACCCCTGTCATGCTGCCTCACCCAATGATTGATTTTTTCAGCCTCCATTTGACTTGCCTGGCTTCGAATAGAACTCGATTCAGAGGTTATTGACCAATCTGAATCTGATGGCAATGCTTATTTCGTCCGAAAAAATCATGTTTCAGAGTCATGGTACCCCCTCCCTCCACCTACTCCACCAAGAAGCATGATTTTATGTCAATACAGATGTGCTAAGGGATGTTCCTAGTGTTTAATGATGATACAAATAGATTATAGATGGATTCAGAGTGTTCTGAACCAATATGGAATGTGATGTGTGAGTTTGCCTGGTACCCCCCCTCAAAGATCGATTTTTCTAGGCTTCACATGACTTGTCAGCACTTCAAAAGTATCCTTCCTGGGGGTTCTTGATGCTTCTGAACACGATGGTAAAGCCAGATTTGTCAGAAAAAATCAGGTTGTTGAGATATGTAGGGTCCCCCTCCCCCCTCCTAACTCATATATCTTGGTATTATATAAATACCGGTATATAAATAAGTGTTCCTACTGTTTTAAGAGCATATAAAACGATTGGAAATGGTCCCAGAGTGTTTTGGGCCCATCCTGATTAAGATATGCGAGTTTTCATGGTACTCCCCTCAAAGATCGATTTTTCTAGGCTTCCCATGACTTGCTTGTGCTCTAGGAGTATTTTTCCGGGGTGCTCTTGATGTTCCTGAACAAGATGGTGAAGCCCAATATGTCAGGAAAAATCAGGTTGTTGAGATACAGAAGGTCCTCCCCCCCCCTCCTACCCCATATATTTTACAACACTCACATTTCACTCAAAACCGATACTGAAAATGGTTGTCCCAGTGTTTTTAAAGCATAGAAATCGATTGGTGATGGTCCCAGGGTCTCTGGAGGTCAGCATTGTTGACCTTGGCTGGTGGGATGAAAAACTCAGTATTTTGACATTATCTACAGATCCCAACCGCCGATTTCTTTCATTCCGGGCTCATATTAATCCTTGGGCATCCCTCTAAAATATGTACCAGCCCAAGAAGAGAAAAAAATTTCAAACTTTGAAACCTATTTCTGTTTTGACCATATAAATCCTTGGGCATCCCTCTAAAATATGTACCAGCCCAAGAAGAGAAAAAAATTTCAAACTTTGAAACCTATTTCTGTTTTGACCATATAAGTATCCTCTCAAATACAACAGTACATCGCGCCGGAGCACTAATCATTGATTAGGACAATCAAAATGATTCCATTTCATGCATTATACCCACCTGTGATGATGTATCAGCAGCCTGAACCTTTGGCTTGGATGATCAACCCTTCCAGCCTCGACGAGGAAGGAAAAATTATCGCTGTCCTCAAAATACTTCGTGGATTGCGGATGACAGTCATGGACCTCATGTTGTATTCAATCTCGGAAAGACCCTCCATGGCAACTTGGAGAGAAGGTTTCTTTCGATGCAAGGCACTTGTGCAATTTCTGAATGTGTTGGACATGGACGAGCGAGCAACTTCACGTCAGTTTACGACCCCTTGCTATTGCAATGGTCATTGATGAGGTTGATGCTGAGATGGAGGCCGCTAAGAACATTTTCCGCATGTCATCAAAAGACATCACCCCCGAACTACTCCTCTCATTTGATCTCGATACATCGTTGACAAAGCCATTACAAGAAACCACTCCATTGCTACGTCGCATTCTTCTGTCAGCTATGCAGACAGTGCGAGCTGCGAAAGAGAAAAAACATCAGCATGCCGAGACCGTAAGTGTTTGTATTGTATTTTCAACAAAGTCAATAGCGAAGTTGATGAAAATGAACAGTACTGTACCGTGATCGAGTCACAGATTGCAAATGTTCGCTCCCAGAACAATCTCGCTTTCCAGGTGATACACGGATTGTGCTTATTTAGTGGTGGTTCATCACGCAAAACCATTGATCTGCTTTCGCGATGTGGCCCCTCTCCTGCCTATGACACGTTACACAACGCTCATACTACCATGGCTGACGGCCAAATTCGGCATGCACATCTAGTGGCTCGTGGGCCACATATGATTGGGTGGGATAACATCCAAGTATCCACCTCGATTCATGTCGAACAACGTCCCCTGGCTCCTCCAAAGGTCCAATCAGGCACCACAGCTATTATATACCCCCTTCGTAACGCAACAATGCAAGACGTAGAGCTTCGGCCTATACTCCAAAACCGTGCCAAATGTAACTGTCAGCCAGGAACAGTCACAGTCGACGCGCCCGAAGTCGCCACTATGCCCTGAACAAAGCCATCTGACTTTCGGAACTCGTCGAATACCATTTCATTATGTTCCGTCGACATGCTAGAATGGAGGTGCCGAAACTTGAACACATGACGAACTGCCTCAGGTAAACGAGCATTGAGGTATCTTGCTACAGCTGCTGTGCTGAGTTTGTGATCTATGAATATGATAGACTTCGGAGGATAAGACATAGGCGGATGAAACGGAACAGATACGAGAAAATCAAGGTTGCTGAGATTTTTGATGGAGTCGACCATAGGAATCACCGCATGACTGATATTTGGGCGGTTGGTGGTCAGCATAAAGGTATCTGTTATCTCCTTCGAAAGATTCAGTGATTTAACGATTCGCTGGAGTATCGGCTGTGGCAAAGTTGCCGAGAAGAGGGCAACAGGAACGCCGAGTGGGAGTTGCACCAGTACCTCCGCGAGCTTGCCATATGCTGCACGGAACGCGACCTTCTCCCCTGCCTTGGGTTCTCCAGCCGTGATAATAAAATGAGCCTCATCAACGAAAAAAAAAACCAACCCGCTTGATGAAGTTCTGATCCTTCAGCAACAGCGCGAGACGGGGAATGTGTCCACCTTCAGGAAAAAATTGCTCTGGTGCAACAAGGAGGTTACGGTAAGCTCCTGCAGAGACACGCTGCGGGAAAAATCACGTTAATGCATCTAGGAGTGTACAGCTACTGCACATACACTCCAGAGAGTCTTATCATTTGGAGTATCGTGATTAATAGCAATCGAGGGAATGCCATACTGCTCGAACTCCTGAACCTGTTATTTACAAGGACAAATTTAATGCCTCGAGTGAGTGAAAATGCTGTATCTTTGGCGTACATGATCTCGCTGCAGCAATTTCAAAGGTGTGACAGTGATAGCTGTCTTGTTAGGAGAAAGGAGTAGAGGGAGAATCATAGCAAGGGTCTTTCCAGAGCCTGTCGCAGCTCGAAGTACAACGTGTCTCGCGGAAAGTAATGATATGAGGCATCTGAGCTGGAACAATTTCGGACGTTGTGATCCTTGGGAAAGAAGATCGAGTCGCGAGAAAGCCTCGAGAACTTGCTGGTGTTGTGTCGTTGAGAGGGCCCCCGTAAAGTCCGTTGGGAGATTCTCAATTGTATCTCGAGCAGCAAGTGATAAAGGTCGTACAGAACTCATGGTGGAAACTTAACATAGCGTACAGTCTGAGCGAGAGCAGACGCATAACTTGTGCTATATGATCGTAACTACCACCGGCACGACCGGCATCTATCAAATTTCAAACTCCTCGCTCCGCCCTGCCACGCCACTCCGAGATCGATCAGCCTGGCTACACCACTCGTGTAACCGTGGTAGTATTAGGCCAGGCTGGTCACGAGCCTAAGACATACCTAAGTCCCGGCGATTTCCTGATGTGCATCATCAACATATTGTCCACCAAACAAGGAGATCATTCATGCTATGAGCGCCTTTATGACTTTCACACACGAGGCACAGCACAACGGTCAATTATCTTCTGACGCTCTCAAGAACGCCTGTCAAAATTGGGCCACCCGTCTCTCGCGTACTCTAAATCCGCCAGATGACACGCTCAGCTACATATTCCAAGCTTTCTGGATTCGTCACCTTCTTTCCTGGCTCAAATGGCAGTGGTGTTTGAAGGGTCTACAGTCTTGCCTTGTCGTCTCATCTGAACGACAGAAATTTGTTAAGTCTCTAACCTCGCCATTTATCAGTGCCATCCTAGAGACTAATATCGCTTTATTCTATTATATCTATTGCCTTATCCTCATCCTGGACCCCATTCACGTGCAGTCCAATAAAGCACTACCTGCCATCATTCCTGATCCCAAAACATCGACAATACAAGCATCGACACCACCTTCCACCTCCGAAATGTTGAAGAAGGGACCATCAACTCCCATACTTACTCCTCCCTCACAGCTCATCGGAACTCTACGTGTACATGTCACTCGTAGTCCTCGCATGAATCAACACACCTCGTAGTGTTCCCCTTCTAGTCCACCCTTTACACCACCCTTACCACATTCCCCCTCCCCGAAACTAGAAATCGCTGTGTCTCATGCTGGCACATCCAAAAAGCACATGTTAGATGAACTTGGGCTCGATAGCGATATCTCATTCGAATGCGTCGCCCTTGCCCCTACAAAACACCCGAAACGAGACAGGCTGATTCTACAGCCAGAGGCAGGCCAAAGCGACAAGAACGCCAGAAAGTAACCTGGTATACTGGTAGGAGGTCACTCACTCGTCAGAAATCTTATTTCTCAGTGTTGATCTACCTTTGAATACCCACCTCTGTTCTTAGCGCGCTGTTGTCATTTCACAGACTACTACTACTAGCTCGACCGCAGCAGATGTAGAAACACCTGATTTGGGCTTTTGTATTGTCACTGGCATTTGACTCGTCTATTGATTTTTCACTTTCACTCATTCATGATGTGCTCTTCGGTTAGGACTTAGATTCGTTATGACAAACTGTCAACCAAAGATGGTGCGAAGCGTTCTTCCGCGCCGATCGACTGATCGAAGCTGTTGAATCTCTTCATTTTATGATGTGTATGCTTGACTCGGACGAAGATGTGAAGAGCAGCTGCCTCGAATGGTCTACCGGTGAGTTAGCATCTCTGACAACCTTAACATCGAAACTCATTCTGGTATCAATAAACCTTCAAGCAAGACTGCAACGTCGTATCGCAAAGGGTGCCGCGAGCAGTCGCAAGATGGCTATTAAATTGTATTTGGCTGCGATCGGGGTTGGGTGCCTCATACGATTCCCTTTTCGCGCGGCGCACTAAGGCCAATTTAGCACGAAACCTTTATCCAGAGGCCTTGCTGATGTCGACACGGTGCAGGCAATATCCATATCGTAAATTCTCAAACCATGCTCGCGAAATTGAATTATGCTCCCGACCCGCAGATACGAAGTCCCACTTGAGTCTTGACAGATTCAGACAGAGATCCTTACTCATTCGTCGGTAGAATCGTCATGATCTCAACTGCCATGGTTGAATCCTTGCCGGAGTCTGCTGGACGAATCACTTGGCAGGCATCCTGGAGAAGATGGATCGGTTGATACGGACTCTCATTCGCGAGAGTTGATGTTGATCGTTCGCCCTGGACGGCCTTTCCGTGCACTTCTCCTAGCAAAGCAGAATGGTGGGGAATACAAGAGAATCGTATCGGATCACAAGATTATGCCACGGGACGAAGACATGACTTCTATTGATGATCTGATGGTCTTCAGGACACTAGAGACATCGTAGTTGGGTGTATTTCGGAGAAAGGATCATACTGATCTTTTTCGTTCATGTTTTGACAGTACAACCTGTAACTCACGACAGTAATCAAACCATAACGATTGTATATCCGAATCATCGCTGAGAGCACCGGTCATAGCGCGTCCTCGTCAATCATCATTAACAGTAATTGCTTCCAACTAGTTTCCACTCTGCTCACGGATAAGTACTGTTTTGTGTCAATGTACTGTCGACCGCGTATGAGCAGAGTGTACTTTTCCCCATCCTACTGTAAGCACGCCGAGTTCTTCAAACCCCGGACGGGCTTGCCGTTGTTGACATCCCACACTCTTACTATCCTGTCCCGGAATCCGCTCACGAATCATTATCTACGCTGCAGTATAGTGACCCACATAACTTGAGTGCGTTCTGTTCATTTTGTGACGAGCCATCAACCAGTTAGAACTAACAGTCAAAAAAGTAGGTACCGATTATTGTAAAAACGTTTCTTTGTATGAAACATTGCCGCTGTTATCTGGTACAGTACACACCATAACATATAGTCTATCAGCGGTCGCAGTCACAGATGATTCCGATTTGTTGCCCCAGATTAGTCACCTAATTACCTCCTCTCCTCAAATGGATTTTCCGTGTATTCCAACTCATCGTCGCTATCGTCTCTGTGTGTAGGTTGGGGCTGTTCCCGAAGGAGTGATACAGGTCGTTTGGGCAGAAGTCCAAATTTAGCTATCGTGGGATGAAATTAGAGGCGTAAAACAGCGGGAGGAAGAACACGACTGACTGGCATCTATGCCACTCGGGGTACCAACGCCCGTGGACGGCGGCCTTGGGGTGTCACCCGACCGCCGAGCAAGTTCGGGAGGAGGGGACGTGCCCATGCCTGTGTTCGGCGGGGAATACGTCGATGACCCTGCATAGGTCGGGCTATTGCTTGCAACGGACGTAGAGTTCGGTACAGTCTGAGTGACGAAGTTCGGAGGAGCGTATGTCGCGCTTGGAGCGAGAGTAGGAACGGAGTTCGTCCTTGGATTTGAGTTGGCTCCACCGGGACGGGGAGGAGATTGCCACCCGCTTCCACGAATTCCACTTTCGCCCGGTGGATTGGGGTCATAGTAGGATTCCTGGTGCTGCGTGGGTTGTACACCGCCCCATGAAGGTTGAGATGTCTGACCCCACGTAGGTTGTGTATCTTGTCTGTAACGAAGACCCATTAGATATTTCACGTAAACGGAGGTGAACAAAGAAGCGAATGTCGATGGAAGTGGCGGTATCGTTTAATGAAACAACTTCTGGTGACAGAAGTAAAGGGATGCATACCTGGACGCTCCCTGGCCCTGATCGTATTCCTGTATCTTCGCCTTAACTTTTGAAACAATCGAAGAGAATGTCTTCTTGCCAGCTGGTGGTTTCCAAATCAGTTACTGACTAGGGTACGAGAATTGAAACACGTACTTTCTGCTATCTTGTTGAAACCATCTTGAAATTCTGCCATAGTGTCCCGTTGCGGTGGAGCAACCGCCTGCGCCATACTGTCATACCTCCCAGTTTCATTTCCACCTCCCCGGTCGCGACTAGCAGACCACCTCGACTGATAGGTTTGGGGCCCTTGTCCCTGCTGCGGAGGGCGCCACTGATTCTGTGCAGCTTGCTCTTCCTCGAGCATAAGACGTCGAGCGAGTTGCTCGTCTAGATCAGTCTGAGTAGGCTCACGCTGCTCCGGCGGCTGTAGCGGCTGTGAGACATAATCAGGATCGCTCATCCCCAACAATGTGTCAACTGCCAGATCCTGGTCACCGTTGACACTCTGGAGTACAGATGATCTGCACGTCATTCAGCACATTTAACTTGACAGAACACTGTCTACACACAGTAGAGAGTCGTCGAAATCTGGGAACATAGCGTGCAGGCTCGCGATGCGTGGATCCACATCAGCACCAAGAGGACGCTGCGGAAGGCTCGGGGTGTCTTCGGCCTGAGTAATAGCAGGAGGTTGGGGCGAAATAGTAATCATTTCGCCAGCTTCTGGTGATTGCGGTGGCGAAGGCGCTACTTCAAAGACAGGCGGGGTAAATTGTTGGTGATCGTATATTCCTGGTGGTGAAGAAGGAAACTGATGCGAGTCCTCTGATTCTGAAGGCTGTGGTGAGGAGGCAGGGTTTGCTATATCTGGCGTGTCAGTATTTGGATATAGCAGATATATGATCAAAGTTGCTCACCTCGAGGCTGGCCATCAGTGACTAGGCCCTCATTTGTTTGGGTCATCGTTGGAAGAACGTCTGTACATGTGATCTTAGAGTCGGTTTTATAGGATGAGAGTCTGTTGCGGAGTAGGCCGCAGCAGTCATACGCTGTCACAATATAATACGTAGCCGCTGACCAAATATAGCGATGTGCCGGCGCTGGCTTAATTATCCACAGGCCAGGCCTAGCACTGGGCTCACCCACCATCATATGCACTTGAAATTGACTTTCACAGAGTTTTCGAAACATGGATGATTTTGTTGCTTGGTTTCAACACAATGGTGGGGTCTTGGATACTTCGATGATGGCCATCGCCGATTTTCCTGGCAGTGGACGTGGTGCGGTCGCACTCCAGGATATGCCTGTTCGTCTCCTTCAAAAAAATTTCGTCCAAATTGATTGCTCACATGTTTTTCAGGAAAACCATACAATTTTCACGCTTCCTCGTTCATTAACACTTTCAACTCAGACCTCGAGCCTTCCTTCTGCATTCGGTTTTGAAGAATGGAAAAAGCACAAACTGCACAAGGGTTGGGTCGGGCTGATTCTTTGTATGATGTGGGAGGAAGCTCAAGGAAACCAAGGAAAGTGGATTACATATCTTGGTAGGTCTTTCCAAACGACCACTTGTCAGTTTTGTTCTCAACTCAATATACAGCGTCGCTCCCGACGCAATTTGACACCCCAATATTCTGGAGTGACGAAGAACTACAAGAGCTCCAAGGGACGGCTGTGGTAGGTCTGTTGTCATTTTTATATATTTCTCGTCGCATTCTCGTTTATGAAAGTAGCTGACAGTGGTGAAATCTAGACAAGATAGGTCGGGATGAGGCTGAACGCGACTATCACGAGAAGCTAACTCCGGCGATCAAGGTAAGTCTATTTTTTGACTTTTCCCACTCGGACTCGAATCCTGGAAAATTAGACTCGACCGGATCTTTTCCCCTCCGATAAAATCAATACATGGTACACACTTCATCAGTACCATATTACAGGCAGCCGAATTCTATCTCGAAGCTTCAATGTAGAGAGGTGGGAAGGTGAAATTGAACAGGAGGCCGAACATGTCACAGAAGAAGACAGTAACGAGGACACCCAGGCTAACACGAGTGTTGGGAGCGCAATGGATGTTGACGATTCCGGAGACGGTGGTGGAGCTGTGGGTGAAGAAAGCAGTGACAGAGATAGTGATGATGAGGAGATAGAGGATACATCGGATATTGCAATGGTGCCTATGGCTGATATTCTGAATGCTCGATATGACTCTGTCAATGTAGGTCATGTGGACATCAAATCTTTCTGTCCCAGTCTTTATTTGTGCCTGCATGACATTCATACAGTTCTTCGCAGGCGAAACTTTTCTACGAGAAGCACCATCTTCAAATGGTCACTACGAAGCCCATCAAAGCTGGAGAACAAATAGTAAGTCAGTCCGCACCAAGTGATTATGTTGGTTTACATACATTCAAGTTCAATACATACGGCGACCTGCCCAACTCAGACCTGCTCCGGCGCTACGGACATGTTGATCTCGTGCCTTGTCCCCATCTAAAGGGTTCGCTTGGAAATCCACAAGACGTCGTGGAGATACGAGCAGACCTTGTTTTCAACGTTGTTTGTGGTGATCTATCTACTGGCGAGACATATCGACGACGGATCGACTGGTGGCTCGACGAAGGGGGCGATGAGTATGGCACTCGCTTACTTTTTTTCTCTTCCTGTGCTCAAGCATATTATCCAGTGTTTTCATTATCGACGCAGACCCAGTTCTCCCGGCAGCGCTAACATCTTTCATAAGACTTCTACTTCTCACCCAAGAAGAATGGGAAAAAACACGGGAGAAAGGGCGTTTCCCGAAAGCCAAGTTTGATAACCAAGTCTCTCCATTATTACGAAGAATATTCGAGATGCGCTTGACTAGTTATCAATCGCCAGATCTTGAAGTATGTTCATTCAATCATTGTCCCACTCGGGGATCGGTGACACGGAAATTATTCCTCATTTTAGGTTGACGCAAAGCTTCTTGCATCCGAATCACTCACGCTCAACAAGAGACATGCCATCGTAGTGCGGCTCGGGGAGAAGCAGATTCTAGCGGGCGCACTTGAAACCCTGCGCTTCATGGATGCGGCCTTGACTGACGTCGGGAGTAATGGATCTAAAGGCAAGAGGCGTGTGGCAAGTGGGGGTACGACGGGTGGAGGAAAATCGAAAAAGGCCAGGCATTGACCCTAAGAAGGCCTATGCACGGACCGACTCATTCACGTCTTCTGCTCATGGTTGTTATCGACATGCAGTGCAGAAGAACGGAGAGTACCGAGGTTCTGTCACTAGCCACTACTAGTATACCGACTAACCTTCCAACAGTAACTTGTACGCATCACATCGGTGTGTAACTGGCCAAAGAGACAATGCTGCATTCTATTGGGCGAAATTCTAACCTATAGTTGGCAAACAAAACTGCACGAGGCAGCCAATAATGCACTACAGTTCCTCCCGTGATCAAAGCGGCTTATAAAATTATTCAGATGACGTCCCAAAGAAATATTTTAGTAAGGTTCAACCCTCATGCTTTCAACGGATGCATTCAGCACGCTGTCAAGATGTGAAAGATCTGAATAAACTATATATATGCGTCTTCCCTTCCATTGCTGTTGATCCCAACAGTTTCAATAGTTGGCAGATAGGCTGGCAGACGTCACGCTAGCAGATAGCATAATTTTGTGCATTATGCTATCGATTATTGATCACCCTGCTAGTCTCTCAGTATGCCCACGGTGCAGCGCTGACGCCCACCGGTGATGCTCGGTGATGACATTCCAAGTAAGGCTGCGTCTGACGTGAGCTGGTTCCGACTGAACGGGTAACTTTAACACGAATTTCCAACCATTTGATGATTTCACACTTACATTAGGATGTGAATCGTGTATGAAATCAAGTGACTGGCACCTGTGACCTTTACCTTACCTTGTCTTAGCGTCGCGTCGGCGTTGATAGGATCTTACGATAGTCTGATAGCTGCTCATGGTCATATTGCATGCAAATGAATGGTCTTATCTGACCGTTCTTTAGATTAACGTCCGAAGTGGACGATTTCGAATTGCACTACAATAAATAAAGAATCGTTAGAATCGCAACAAGGCGTGAGGACCCCTGAGAGTATGCCCATAGTGGCCACCATTTCTCTACTTCTTCGTCAGCGTCAAATTCTTGTCCTTGTCAGCACACTGGTTTATGTTACCCAGGTTGCCGGAGTCAATGTGTTCCTTCCGCCGCATGCCACGCGCAAAGCGTCTTTCTTCGAGGCACGCATTTCCCGATCTCATTCTCGTTTCTCCTGCTGCGGATCGTCTGGAAGATTAAATGTGCTGGATCAGACTAGAATAAATTTTAGTAGCGATTGCGCGATCATAGCGGATGGATTGGTAGGTGTGAAGCAGGGGAAGGATCTGAGAGAGGTGCGCAAAGCCCTAAACAGCAGCATCTTCGACCTGAAAATGAATCGTAACTCATGGTCGCAAGGACACATAGAAACCACTTACGGCCGTTGCAGACACTTGAGCACGTCATGGGTTACCAGTCGGATGAGTTAGGTGCCACTAAACGAACATCAGAAGACCTATAAATATGAGCTTCTGAATGCTATTTCGATTCACGAGGGGAAGAATGTAGTGTGCGGTTGCTGAAAGACACTTACTGGGATTCCCAGCCAGTAAACTCAGCCCTCATCTTGTCTGCGCTGCCCTTCGCAGTCTATGATTCCTCACCGCCATCGTCAAGATGCATCATCACGAGATTATACTCACTTTTAGCGCACTATACAGGTGAAATGAAGAATCAAACTCATATTATACTTACTATGCGCCTTGATATGGTGGCATGGACCCAACCATCCTACCATTTGAGATTTCTCAACCAAGAGCCGCAGGTCCAGGTCTTGTAGAGGTTTTTCTGTCAGGGTAATAACTCTATACGCAGCATCTGCTGTGGGTCTGGCTCGATCTGGACCACCCATGAATACATGACGTACTGCCGCAAAGTACTTTTAACTCCGTTAGCAGCGTGACTGATGACTAAATCAGCATTCACGACTTCGCCAGACTCGAGAGATAAGGGTAGGTTTTGTCCATAGAAACAACCCGACAATGAGTGCGAATGTTACACTGAGGCTCCAATAATTCATACGATATGCAGTGAAAATCAGCACGCTATACTAAACTTTGTTAGCTTCACCACGAAGGGGATAAAGCTCAAACTTAGCGTGAATGTGATAGTAAGGGGGCCCCGTAGTCCTTCTCTATAATATTTTCCCACCTCGTCCATGCGAGAGTTTCGCCGGTAGACCCTATAAGGCGAGAAGAATGAGTAGTATATACGAACATAGACAAAATGACTCGCATCGCCTGAAATCCGATCCTTCAAGCTTGACAGCAACTTCCTTGAGGCGTTTTTTCAAACCCCAGCTAATCAGAAGGCGGGTTAGATTTGGGCTGAGCTAGATACCAACACGATCGCGAGAGCGGCCTCGGGGATGGGCACTTTACGACCAGCCTAGGAAAGGCAGTGCGCAACAGCGACATCACCAAGCCCACGTCCTACGACGACAACACAACTTCTAAAGAAAGAGAAGCTCGACGTCCTTAGTGGAGCTTGCCGACCTGAAAATTCAAACCAACCCAGTAACCGACGGATCACTGAGCACATACTGTTGCTGTTGGAGACCTGTTGCTCATTGTGCTCTTGTTACTCCTGTGAGCCTTCGAATACTCGAGCGGCAGTGACAAAAGAATGCATGCCATTAATTCAATGCAAGGGAAGGAGGGTAGGACTGAGAGGCGTATCTACAGGTTATAGTTAATACCTGGAGTGACAGGTGACCAGTGCACCGGTGAGGTCTGCTTGTTTCTACGGGTGTGAAATGTCTGTCGGTACTTTCGCCCTTGTTACTGATTGCCAGGTCCTCAGCGCATAAAGTAAAGCCTAGCGAATCGATGGTGTCGAACCGAGGCTGGCAGGGCGAGAGTTAGAGAGTAGTACTAACTATTTCAAGTATTTCGCAGCGACCTCTTGTGGTCCCTAACGCCTGGAATTATGGTTGTCTGCTTATATTGACCATTGGAATGTAGTGCACTACAAGCTTCGTGTTACCAGCTGTATGGTATTAAACAGAGTATAATTTATAGTATTAATTTACATAAGTCGATATTAATGTTTAGTTAAGGATAGTAATAGAATGAAGTGGCGGTTAAGTTATCACCTTCTCAATCCAATTTTGTCTATACTGCAACAACTGGAGACCATGCATGTAGCACTTAAATGGGATCTTGAGAGCTGGGAATTTTTTTTTGGCTTTAAAGGGCTCCTGGACCGGTCACAATGTCAAGCCAATGGTCCAGAGATACCATTTGCCACAGTAAAATCTATCCTAATAAACTAGAACCGGGGAACTTAGAATCCGACGCCGGGAGCACTCAGTTTTTCTGTGCTAGATGAGATGGTTAGCAGGAATCTAGACTTTCATTTAGATTCAGCAGGGTCGGTCTGTGAAGAGTTGAGCCCCTTTGGCTAGACTTTCGACATCCCGGTGTTCCGATTGCACCTGCCGATATCCTCGTGTTCAATATCAGGGAATTAAGCAGGTACTTAAACCCAAAGAACATACCGTAAGAACACATTGAGGAAAAGATCAGTGGTCGTTGAATTTAAATTGTGCCTTTGAAACTTAACTGCAGCGACCATATGCATATATGCATACGTAATGAATACGTATATATTATCATCACTTCCCAATTGGCTTGACTAAACTTTACTACCTCGGTCAGCTCCTGCGCCCATGAACAACCGTATCTCGCGCTCCGTACTGGAGGATAATCACAAAAGGCTTATTGATCAGTACAAAGCAAACCTTTCAGATGTATGTGCTATCCAATCAATCTTGAATGATGAGATCTTGTCCCATGTGGTCCAAGAATTAGCGCTCAGTGATGCGGACCATACATGGGCGAAGGAATGGATCTCGGATACAGGTAATTGTTGCAGCATCAAATCTGTGAAACCGTAAGTTGATCATGAACTACAGCAACCATTTTCCGTTTCTTACGGGTGAGTGAAATGCTAACCGATTGCAGCAGCAAGTGTCTCCGCTAAAGCATGGCACGTAGCACCATGGCTTCGTCCGTTCATTCGCATTGGAGGGCATATACACGGCACTCATTTGGCGTTTAAATGCATTGCGACTCTTCGCTCTCCCTTCTGCACTGCTTCATTGTCTTCCACCGCCGATCTGTGATCCACTTGGCCGTCCCCTCGTGTTTCTCCAGTTGTCAGAATTGCTGACTTGCGAGCAAACAATGATGGATGGGTTGCTGATCTCCCTCGAACGCCTGAGTATTCATCTCCGCTCACTCAATACTCTTAACAATCAGTTTGCAAATCGTGAAGTAACTCTTCAATGCGTTTTCGTCATCGACCTTGAAGGTCTATCAGTCCAGTCGGTTGTAAGTCAATACCCCTTGAGACCTAAACTTTTGTTCAGTTCCGTGACAGAACCTTAAAATTTTAACATGGCTCATGAAAGAAGTAGTTCCCCGGTACCCTGGAATGCTTGGTGCAGGTAACAATGCATCGCTCTAATCATTTGCTACGATCAAACTCAATTTTGTTTTGTCTTAGTATTCTTCCTCAATTACTCTTGGACATATGCAATAACCTGGTCCATTATGGAGTGCGTTGATTCTAGAAACATTCTTGGTCTGTCTAACCAGAATATAGGTCCCTACTTCCTAAATCCGCGGTTGCCAAAGTCTTCTTTCCATCCAGGGAGGAGCTTCTTCAATATTGTTCTGCGTCAGCGCTACCATCTAGTCAGTCACCCTATCTCGTTGCCTTACACACTTAGCAGCCATGCATTTGTCAGATTATGGCGGTGCACTTTCGCCACTCCACCTTATCGAAGATCCGCTAAATTCGCATGAGCAGAAAAATCATGCTTCTGTTGCTTCACGTGAATGGTGCATGCCGGCGCCCAGCACCGGGCTTCCTGAAACCCTACACCGGCAGCCTTCGTCCGTAACCATACCTCCTCGATCCTCCCTCAACCCTTTCTTTGGCTATCCTTCAGTCGCTTCCTTCTCACGACCGCACACGGTGCAACAAGGTCGCCGGCGGAAACGTGATCTGCTGTTGACCCTGTCAGTTCTCTGGTGGAAAAGATGGGGTACACGCGTCATCATACTGCTCTATTTTCTTATCGTAGCCGGTCTTACACGTAAGAGAGTCAGGAGAGTAGCACGATGGATGCTTGGAGTAGTTCTACCTTCTGGTAGCACCTTGCTTGCCATGACTTAGTTTGTATGATGGATCCGGTATGTCATTTCGGCGGTACTGATGCCATGCCGCGCAACCAAGAAGTGCCGAGGTGTTTACATAACTTGCCTTGCATTCATCAATATTGATTAATCATTTTCAATCGGCGGAGCGACCCCTCGCTTCTCCGGTCAACATGCAGGCTCAGTCAGGCTCAGTCCTTGTTACTTTCGTAGCGACCCTACATTCTGGCACCCAGGAAAGGTCATCCGCAAGATTAATAGCGTGATGCTGACACATCATGTGGGGTATAGTAAAGTAGCATCGTACTAGTGTCGTCCGCACAATACAGGTTTACACCTACTTGCTACAGCTTGGGCGCCAAAACCGCCGCCGGCAGTACTCGGTTTCTATCAAAAATGTTCAAGAGGTCTGACGTAGTGGCTTGTTGAGATCTAAAGGAAGTACTCGGGAAGCTAGGTGGAGCAAACACTCGTGTGAGTAAATTGGTCTATTCAAAGAAAACACGGAGCGAGAGATGATCACAGGAATAGCGACGTACCTTCCCACCAACGTTCTGTGGAGCCTGTTGACTCGGACCATCGCGTTCATTCTCCGGGGCAGCTTCGAACACATTGAAATACATGCTCTCGCCAGGACCCACCTCGAGTATACTCGCGGAATTGCCGCAACGATAACAATAGTTAGGCGCCGACCAGACTGTCGAAAGGTGTTTGTCAAATAATGACGAATAACCTTCCATGCAGAGTTGATGTGCGCGCAAAATATGCGACATGTTGTTCGTTTCCAAGAACTTGTGTACAACGCCTGATCCAAACGTGTAGCCAGCACCTCTATATGATCCGTTCCAGATTGAAACATCAGACACAATACAAGCGGAGTAATGATAAGCCTCATTAGTCAATAACGCTAGTGATATACTAGAGTAGGCACGGACCTTGGGGATATTGCAAAGTCTTCTTTCTCTGCATCCGGATCCGACCACACCAAATCAGCCATAGGACCCTCGTGTGGAATTTCTAGACGAAATGAGGGTGAGCAGCAATGAACGGGCGGGGGTAACGTACCTCTAAATCGATCTACAACTTTGATTTGATCTACGGAGTGGATAGACGGCGAAAGACCTGAGACGAGGAAATGATCAGATCGTGATAATGTGAAAGAATGGATTGCTGATGACCTCCATGAACACAGAATATCCGATCATCGATTACCACAGACAGGGTCAAGAAGTCGAACATGTCCGTGAAATAGGTCCATACATGTGATGAGCCGTATTTTCGCACACACTCCGTATAAAACCCATAAGTCTAAGTTAAACATTGAGCGATAAGGGAGCTCCATAACATCATGAATTGATGGCTGACTTGTGTTACAGCCCTTGATTCATGGTTGCCACGAATTAACTGGACTCTGTCGGGGTATCGCAGCTTAAGACACGTAAGGAGTGATATGGTCTCCACACTGAACAGGCCACGATCGACGTAATCCCCTGTGGCACTATGAGAAAAGGGAAGTGTATTCTAACAGAAAGAATGGAACTCGCCAAGGAAAAGATAATTTGTATGAGGAGCATAGCCACCTATGCGGAATATTTCGATGAGGTCGTAGAACTGACTTGAGTTCTATGATGAAATGTCATGGAGTGATTAAGGCTAGGAGGTACTCACCCGTGTATGTCACCAACGACCGTTACTGGTGCACTGACATGGACCACATTGGATTCCCTCATGAGAACTTCTTTCGTTTTTGCACATATTTCACGTAAAAGGGCCTCATGTAAAAGCTGTTTGCGGAGCAGTTGCTGTATACACGCGTCGAGATCGAAGGGGGCCATAGTAATTCTGCGGTCTCGTGCTCCGAGTGATTTCAGGAAGGTTAGTCACAAGTCACAGATGCATCCCTTTGTGCATGTTTGGGTTCAACTTCCCACCACGGTCTCGAAGTCGCCATAGTTAGTACGATTATGATTTGAAGCACCCCATGCAGTTCAAACAAAGTTTCGACTATCAAATTGATCGCGCTCCTTGGCGCTCTGAAGACCCGTGTACTTGGTCAGCAGTGGATTATGGGTAAGGTTAAGTTTACGAGTGGTCAGGCCTGGAAGGACGGAGATTTTCTCTCATGGTGCCTGTGTCCGAATTTGCACAAGCCACAAGCCCATTTTTACGTTGGCGTTTCAAGCTTGGCCATGGGCGATCCTGACACTAGCGCTTTGATTGGTGGAAAGGGCCTCGGCTAAACGGCATATTCCCTTGAAATGTCCCACCAGGTTCAAAACTTAGACTGAGGGTCTCCTGATCGCGTCCTCGAGGTATTCGCGTGTCTAATGAATACTTACCGTTCCAGTAGATTGGCGATTGGCGCTTGGCGCTTGCCGGGGAGGCACGCTGCGGGGAGGTAATATACTGGTAGTAGCTCCATTGTCAAATTATATTCCGAACTTGTGCTTGTTCGACTTCTCCGAGCCGTGTGGGGCTGAATTGTGTAGCGTCTCAATGCTGGTGATTCACCGATGGCTCTGTTCTATCCGAGGAGATAGTCAAGGCATTGGTTTCAATGGTGCAATATGACTTGTTGAGGACAACCAAGCTTCTGGCTCCGAGTAGATGCCAATGCAGTGGAGGAATCGCCCTTAACAGTGAGCTCGCAATATTTTAGGCTACCGTCGGTGCCGAAAAGGAAGACGCCTTCCCGAGGACAAGAACACGTGGACAGTGTGATTCTTCATTTGCAGTCATCAGTCTGAGAATGTTCTACTATCCCTGCAGGTCGGTCACGCTCTCGAAGATGCGTGATGGGAAGCTCCATCGCCTTTATAGTGACCTGACGTGTCATCCCGCTCTCTGGTTTGGTCATTCATCTTCCTCCTACAACGTCATCCTCGACGTTGTGGAAATCCGCAAGCTCTTGGCCCGGCGTTTTGTCAACGTGCAATATAGCATCTCGTTAATTTCGATCTTCGGGCGACATTGTTCGGGATGGACCCTAGGCGTAATCATTCCAGCACAGCTGCTAACCAATCCAAGATCGTGTTCTCTGATTGGTCACCTATTTCACGAGGCTGGGATTTCCCGACTAACGTTCCGACAGGGTCTAACAACAAAAAGGTATGGTGACTGACCTTGCAAGTCGCTTCCTTTCAATGGGTTATCTGACAACCCGTCCCGTAGCATGAGTAGCCTCTCTGTCCCCTTGGAGAGTGACATCAATAAACATTCAATACACTTCTTAAGGGTCATCTGCTCATATGTAATGGATCTTTCCGCTTAGCGTTAGATGAAACCAGCATGTCCATGACAAGTTGCTGCACAAGGGCTGCCACTAATTTATGCCTTACGAGAGAACTCGGCAGATCCGACTCGATTTAAAGTCAACTGTCCAGGAACGCACGCTCCGCAAACTCTCTAGCCTCGTGATCTGCCCGCAGCGATCTTCTGCAAACCTGCCGTTCTCTACAAATGGAGGAGTTCTCGTTCTGAGCTCACCACACAGCTTTCCTCGGTGAGACCCCGTATCTATCAAATCTTGTCTGTTCTAATTTTTTTCCATTGTTCCTTCTATTGCTCCACCCGCTCCCGAGGTGGTACCTTCGTTGAACCTTCTTACCTGACGGAATTTAGTCTCCCGGATAATGAACTTCCAAGACCGTAATGTCAATCATCATTAGTGCATTCCGCCCACATGATCTTGTCCCTATCATGCTTGCAAAATTGATCTGGGCCTTCTACAGAATATCTCTTGATGCCGGAGTCATACGCAGCCTAAGTTAACTCTTTCATACCGGAATTACGCTCTGGGAAGTAATGATTTAGTAACCGATCTACTCATTCATTAAGGTACGTTGTCACCCTGATATGACAGGCGACACCCGAGTACTTTCACTGCAAAAATGTATATAAGGGCTCACCAACTACAATAGCTGGGAAGTATTTACTGTTAGCCAAACCTTCCTTGCACGATGCAGTATCCAAATCCGTACTCCCACAACGGTCATCAGACACAACAGCCACATGTCTCTGCCCACCATCCTCGACAATCTTCTTCCAGCTCGAACAGTAACACCTCCGCATATCCCCAACAAGCACAAGTATTATCGGGCTACCCACTTGACAGTACTTTGTCCGATGGCATAATAGGTACATTAATGCCACTGAACGGCGCTTTTATTGGTAGTTGACATTCTTCAACCAGGAAATCACCACACTGGTAATCCATTGCAACCCCCTCCTTTCTCCAACCATCCGCAGCACGGGACGTCATCTGCCATGGACACTCGCAGGTCTTATTATGCTCCTCCTTCTGCTCCTCCTCCTGCACCGGCGAACCAGCCTAATGCTTACTATGCCTCGCATCATCAGCCGTCTGCGCCAAGTCCTCAATATGCGGTACACTCTCATCCACATATCGATCCTCAGACTCTCCATGCTCATTCAGCATCACAACACTTCATCCCGACACCATCGCAGACGTACCAAGTATATTCCAACACTGTGCCATCGAACCCACGGTCCCGTTCCACCGTCGAACCGTACTATCATATGTCGCCCAATCCCCAACACACCACCCAAGGCAGCTCACCCCCTGCTGCGCCACGTCCTACGCACACATCCCCCTCCGCCAACCCGGCACTTATTGGAGACCGGTTTCCCTGCGAGCTCTGTGACAGGTCGTTTACTCGCTCGCACGATAGAAGGAGACATTATGAGACCGTCCATGCTGCAACCCCCGTCCTACATCGATGTCGTTACTGTGGGAAGGATTTCAGTCGCGCGGACTCACTTAAACGCCACATCGATAATGGCTGCGACGAGATGTCGCACAAATAGATTTGGAAATGACTTTTTGTTTATCTTCCAACCCAACCTTTAACCATCCAAGCATTGTCCTAATTATTCATTTGAGCATTACCTCCGCTACGTTAACCCATCATGTCATATAATTCTCCGCAGTCCGTCCGTCCAATGCTTGGAGCGTGCTTGTACTTATGTGTATTTTTAACTACTGCACTAGACTCGGAAGGATCCTCCAGTAGCTCTGCGTTTAACTGGTACACAGTTGCTAAATACGACGCGATGCATAGTGTAATCCCTCACACACAAACACTCTCAAATCGCGGATTCCCCAGTACTTCATGAGAGTATGATATTCCTGACTAGAGCGCCCACGGCTACATTGGGTGACCGATATCAAGGCCTAGAATTCCAGTCTGCACATCACATTTGGATCATATCTCCGACCGACGGTACTTATTTAAGAAATAGCTGGTCATCGTGATACGCAAACGGACTCGGACAGCCTGCTGATCACTCATGGATCAATTGATCACGCTGGTTTTCGTTTGGTCTATCAGTGATCAGTGGAGCCATTCAAATGTATTGATGAAAGGTACTTTTTCCCTTATTGACTGCCTTGGACGCGGGAGCCCGGCAAGTCTTGGTCATGTCACCTAGTTTTTGGAGAGAGGCTACCATTTTTGCGTAGGCGCCGAGGGAGCTCTTTGGAATTGCTGTGTGCATCGGATCATATGATAGGACGATATTCCACAGGGCTATGTGGGACCGAAACGATCGCATTACTGCATGTTGCATCTGGAACCGAATCGAAATAAGGATTCAGTGAGCAGAAAGCCCGAGGACCTCGGGTGGGACTACCCACATATGCAAGTCTGTCGGAAGAACTAGGTAAGAAATAACGTCATGCTGTTTGTATGACATGTTTGTTTTTCGAAAAACCATCTCGCGATATCGCGGATCCGCTTCCGGGACCTGAAAACCAAGTTCAATGTTATCAAACGCGGTGCCTGTTCCATCAGGAACTAAGCGAAATAGCTCAGCAGAAGATTCATGTAGGAAGGAACCACAAGTGATAGCAGCCCACGTTGACGGAAGAAAAAATACGAATGACACTTCTGGTGGTAGGCTCACAAAGAACGCGGCACGCGCTGATGCACGTATGAATAATCAATGCATTGATATGGATCTCAATCATTATCATCGTCACCTGAGTCACTGTCTCTGCTTCCGTTATCAACCAAGCCCTCAATTTCGACCCCAGGATTGTCATCTTCGACGTGAGCATCGTCCTTTTCTGCGCGTTTCTTGTTCAATTTGTCGATGATTTTGTCAGCACGATTGAATATTCCACCCGTGGGGGCGCCGCATGCTAAGCACTTTGGAGTCTTGGCATAGCGCTTGATTGCGCAGGCCGAACAATAATAATGGCCGCACCGCGTGGCCACTGGATCTGTATAAGGTTTGCGGCAGATGAGACAAGCGAAAGGTATGTCCTCGTCAGAATCGGAGTCTGACGCATCCTCGACTTGTTTCCGCGGGGTTTCAGCGAGCTCATTCAATTGCCAACCAGCAAGATCTGTCCAAAGTATTTGTCTTTAGTTTCTTTAAGCGTAAAGGCTATGCAAACATACATGTGCCACGGTCGTGCAAGAATTTGCAAGTGTCACCAAACCCGCAGTACCCCGTTTCTGATTGGGATGATCGTTTTAGCATCCGTAACCGTCGGAGAAAAAACTTACGAACCTTTATAGTCTTTGCAAACATCGGGCTGATAATCGACAATGGTTACAGTACGAATGGTGCTAGTACCTCGCTGAGGACCAACACGCATAGCTTTGGGTACTTCCTGACTTTTTTTCAGGTGACTTCGATAAGCATTCTGGCCCCTATACAGCCCATCATCAGGCATTTCCTCCTCCTCTTCACCTCTGTCTGCTTTCTCTTTCTTCTGACGTTTTGCAAGTAGCTCCGCGGCTTCGTCACCAGCTAGTATTTCAAGTGCTGCGTTGGTGTGTGATCCAGCTGCGGTCCATTTCACAGCAGGACCATCACGTTCCACAAAGTCTGGATCGTCCATTTCATCCTCCCTTCGTTGTGCAGCAGTACGTTTAGTGCCAGCGCTCAGAAGATTGCCAGTTGCTTTGCGAGAAGGATGAACCACCGCAGACTTGGATGAAGACGGTATCGGCGCTGACCCACGGGGAGGCGGAGAATCCGATCTTTTTCGTGAGGTTGTTGGTCGAGATTTTCCCTTCCTGAAGAAGGGAACCTTAATTTCGTTTGTGGTGGACATGGTTTTTGGTGAAGGTTTGCAACCTCAAGCTCATGGTCGATTGTCTAAATTACAACCAATCTTAGTCATGCTTCTATTAGTAAGCTGCTAACTTCAATTACGGCCACGGTGTCCACGTTTGAATCACTTGACTCGAAAGAAGAGAACTGAGACGAAACGACACTTCAGCCTGACTAGTGACTGATCGCAGTATTATAATTGGTTTGATTCCTTGGTGGGTCCCAGAACAATATGTAATTAATACTACCAAAAACCTCTATAAAAGAACCGTACTCATCCTAGCTGCTTCAAGTAGCAGTCTATTTGCGGTCAACACTAACTCATCATTCAAATATTCACAGCCCAGGGGTCGGTTTCAAAAAACCAAGGCACAATTTACTCATACAGTCAAAAATCAGTGCAAACTTTCAATCGCAGAGCGGTGTAGATTAAGTAGTAACGTCAATCTCGGTGTCGTGGAATGTAGCAGCTTCTGACTGCGCTTATGACATCCTCGTCTGTGTCTGCCAGGGCCATGTTCTACGACGCAGAATCACCCCTTGATCATGTGGTCTGCCCAGGTATCAGTCTTGGCTCGCCCGTTGGCCCTGCAGGGCATATTTACACCGGAGGAAGGACCTGGCAGATATACTACTGCAATTGTATTGGATGTTTGTGAATATGACATTTAGGCAGATTGGGCGGAGAACGGAGAACGTCCCATTGGAAATCTGATGCGGTAATATCTCAGCTGTATTATCCTCGAGCAGAATGTCGGACCACCCGCTGGGTGGTACTTGATATTACTTGCGGCACGGCGGGCCTCATCCGTCCGGCCGTCCGACTGAATCTGCAGTGCTGACATAATCGCCACTTTCATACTTAGTACACGAAGTGTTTTCTACAGCACCTACCAGATTTCATGACGCGAACTGGCGCGCAGTATGGAAGGCTGCCTGATAACAGAGATTACGAGGAAGAGATAGAGCAGATTCGGTGAGTGATTGCTGCTGATCTACGTGCATCTTCTGTACTAAGAACTGGAGAGACGTTATGAGGATTTTACGACCATTGGTACATACATTTGGAACTTACCGCGTCTGGACTCTGTTAACTAACTACACGTGTCACACCGCCAGATTGGATTCAAGACTCGATAGTGGAACGAAACAGACGCATACGCAATGCCAAGGCAGCACAGGTGGCCTACCGCGGTCCTAGCGGCGAGATCACGCCTACATGGGTGTGGGCTCAGTTATGGAGGTTTCTGAGAGCTGGAGAACCCTGGCTTGTGATAAGCCTAGTTGGTGAGGATTGTGCATTGTCATAATTTCTTGACCGACAATGTGCCAGGTATCTTCATCGGCATGAATGCCGCTCTCATTTCAATCATCACGGAATGGCTCTCGGACATCAAAATGGGATACTGTACGGACGGGTGGTGGTTAAACTCCCAACTTTGCTGCTGGGAAGTTGAAAGTGATGATGAATTTTGTCCCTCATGGCATCTGTGGAGTACGGCGACTGTGGCACGATGGTTAATCTATGTTCTTTTCGCGGTAAGTCATCTCTCACTTAATGTTTTAAACTTGACAAGGTCGATATCTATCCGCAGGCCATATTCTCGTTTGTGGCGGCTCATCTTGTTCGTAGCATGGCGAAATATGCTGCTGGATCTGGCATATCAGAAATCAAATGCATTCTTACAGGCTTCATCATGCAAGGGTTCCTCGGGTACGCCACCTTCTTCATCAAGAGCCTTACACTTGTGAGTTGTCTTTCAAATCTCGTAAACAGTGTTATCGACCAGAACTAGCCTTTGGTGATTGCTTCTGGGTTGTCCGTTGGTAAGGAAGGCCCTTCGGTGCATGTCGCGTGCTGCATTGGAGCTATCGTCGCAAGTTGGTTCCAGCGGTTTTCTCGAAGCCAAGGTTTGGGTTAACACTTTCGTACATATAAACATATCTTCATTCTCAATAATAAAGGGAAAATGCGTGAAATCATCACGGCCGCCAGTGCTGCAGGAGTGGCAGTTGCTTTTGGGTCACCAATTGGCGGTGTTCTGTTTTCTATTGAGGTACCGATCCCCCACATTTACAACGTTCCTTATTTCAAACCCGCATTTCCAACAGGAGATGAGCCAGATGTTTCGTATCAAAACGATGTGGAGAAGTTTCGTGTGTGCATTGGTGGCGACATTTACGTTATCCGTCAGTGGATTTCCTCGCCTCAATGATCTCCTATCTTGACTGTCTCATTTCAGGTGATGAATCCGTTCAGAACAGGAAAGCTTGTGCTGTTTCAAGTGACATATAACCGTGACTGGCATTTTTTTGAGATTATCTTCTTTATCATACTTGGAATATTCGGCGTAAGAATTTTACATCCCTACGATTTCGCCCTTTGTTGACAACGTCGCTCGTCATTATAGGGACTCTACGGCGCGTTTGTAGTCAAATTCAACATGCAAGTAGCTGCATTCCGTCGAAAACATCTTGCAGCCCATGGTGTTGCAGAAGCTGTTATTCTTGCGACCCTCACTGCAGTTATTGGTTACTTCAATCGTTTCATGCGCATCGACATGACAGAGATGATGTCAATTCTATTTCGTGAGTGCGAAGGTGGCGGAGATCACGACAATCTATGCCAGTAAGTACTGCACTAATATGTCATTCGGCCTACATTTTCTCATCTTTTTTGCAAGAATGGCTGTTCAGTGGCCCATGGCAAACTCTCTGCTCCTCGCCACATTCATACGCACGGGACTTGTCGTAATTTCTTACGGAGCGAAGGTCCCCGCAGGTATCTTCGTACCTTCAATGGCTGTTGGGGCAACTTTTGGGCGAGTGGTCGGCATCATGGTGAAGGCAATGTATCGGTAGGTGGATACCACTAGCTCTCATCACAGAATCACGAGAACTCTCTGTAGTGCTTATCCTCACTCAGGGATCTTTTCGGTTTGCGACCCGAATGTACCATGTATCACACCAGGCACTTACGCCTTTCTTGGCGCCGCGGCAGCCCTTAGCGGAGTTATGAGGATAACGGTGACCGTTGTCGTCATCATGTTTGAGCTCACCGGAGCATTGACGTATATTTTACCGACTATGGTGAGCCCGATAGTCTAGTTTTACGATTAAGAAAGTTTGCCTCTCGAAATTTAAGTCCTTGATGCTGATTACCTCCAGATTGTCATACTGGTAACAAAAGCTGTCGGCGACTTCCTTGGGACTCGTGGCATTGCAGATGAGGCGATTCGATTCAATGGTTATCCGATCCTTGAAAATGAGGATCATGGCTTCAATGTCTCAGGTCAGTATTCCAATTGCTACTTGCATTCATGCTATTCTTATGTCCGCGAAGTTTCGGAGGTCATGAAGAAGGATCTTAATATTCTGTTTGCGTCTGGGATGATTGTCTCCGATGTTGGTACGTTTGGACAGATTACCATCTGCTAGGAAAGACTATTAACCAGTGCTTTGCAGAGCAATTGTTGGCATCTACCGATGTGAAAGGCTTTCCGATAGTTACTTCCGAATCATCTCGAACGCTTGTTGGGTACATGGGCAGAACGGAATTGCGCTACGTGCTAGGTATGTGTCCGTTAGCGTTTGACTCTCGTGTGACATAACACAGTCTAGACAAGGCCAAAAACGTGGGGGACATATCCCCAAGTACGCCCTGTGCGTTTACTAGAGGAGCCTCCGACCAAGAGGACTTTGTTTTATCGGATATGACTTCTGGATCAGCTCTTGGTGTAGAGGAAGACGTGGCAGAGGAGCTTATAGAAACGAGCGCAACTATTGACGTGCTTAAACTCTGGCCTTGGGTGAACCAGGTACTGTACTTTGCACGAGCTCTTTGACATTCTTTGACTTGTCCTAAAGACACCTCTTACTGTGTCTCCGCGACTACCACTGGAGATAGTAACACAATTGTTCAAGAGAATGGGGTTAGTCCTACTTGACCTATACGGACAATGCCCTGCCCTTACCTCTTATTTACAGTCCCCGGGTGATACTTGTCGAGGAACACGGGTCGTTGAAAGGTCTGGTAACCGTTAAAGATGTGTTGCGGTTCAACGCAGTAGAGCAACCTGTTGGGGACCTACATTGGGACGGAGGTGAACTGGAAGCTATTCTCGATGTTATATGGATGTGGGCAGTAGGAATTGCGAATACTTCCATAAATTGGTATAGACGCTTAATACGTCGGTGAGGCTGCCGTGTCTACTTGCTATCCTAATAGATTGTTTATGTACTGACTCATACTTCCCTAACTCTTGTTTGCGTCGAGTAATGTGTTAACTTGGGCGGTGTATGCTAACATCTTTCGAATGCACCGCGTGCACGAGTGTTGACATCTGGGGTCGTCGTCAGACGAGCAAGTTGAGACGGGCTCAAGAACATACTGGTCATCCTAAAAGGAAGGCACATCTTCATTATATCACCTAGGCGTTCTCGTTGAAACCCCTCAACAGCAGTTTGGGCATAAATTTTCCACCCAGAATACCGTCCTGAACGTCTTGAACCTGTGCAGAACATTACGGGTGAAGACTTGCGGGTGGGCGAAAGCACCACTCTGACGTCGAGTGAAGTCTTGAATAATAATTGGCATCTGGTTGGTTCTATTCCAGTGACAGCAGAAATCCACTGCTGAACATGAAGTCGAGTGGTCGTGGACCTTATGAACAATGCCACGTGCAAAGCACGAAAGATGAGGCACAGAACCAAGTCGCCGCGCAGACCGAATCTAAAAAAGTTGGTCGACACAAGTCATTGAAACCCTATTCTGAACCAGCCACATTGGGTGTAACTGGACAGTGTTCGTAAACACTCGTAAGACTTGGTTTACATTTTAGGACGAATAAGTCTGTTCCACCAATCGCCTTGCTCCATCACCAACGCCGTAAGCTCACGGTGAGCATCAAGCTTCTTTCTGACAAGCGAAAATTATGAGGTCCGTACCTCGAATTTACGTGGGACGTGTATAACCGATCAGTGAACGCTTACTGATTTGCT